CTAACGAAGATTTAACCAGTGGATACGGAAGACCGCTGATGAAATCCTTCAGTTTTTGCTATGAAGCAACTGCTTTGATAAATAAGGTGTTTTGAATGAAGAAAAACTTGATAGTCATTATACAACTGAGGCCAGATGAGTACCCGTACTTTTCTAACGAAGATTTAACCAGTGGATACGGAAGACCGCTGATGAAATCCTTCAGTTTTTGCTATGAAGCAACTGCTTTGATAAATAAGGTGTTTTGAATGAAGAAAAACTTGATAGTCATTATACAACTGAGGCCAGATGAGTACCCGTACTTTTCTAACGAAGATTTAACCAGTGGATACGGAAGACCGCTGATGAAATCCTTCAGTTTTTGCTATGAAGCAACTGCTTTGATAAATAAGGTGTTTTGAATGAAGAAAAACTTGATAGTCATTATACAACTGAGGCCAGATGAGTACCCGTACTTTTCTAAGGAGATTTAACCAGTGGATACGGAAGACCGCTAATGAAATCCTTCAGTTTTTGCGATGAAACAACTGCTTTGATAAATATAGTGTTTTGAATGAAGAAAACTAATCATGGCAAAACATTTTGTTACAAGAAGTGAGGGCTCTTGGTGGCTCAGCAGTAAATCTGTGGGCTTATAACGATAAAAATCGGATATCGATACAGTACATTGTATAGTTTTGTGTTTAATAACAAACAAACAAAAAAAAGGCTTGTTTCTATTAGCCAATATTTGGAAGGTTACATTGCTAAATCCTATGTTGGGTGGGATCCAAACCTTTGTAAGGTGTATCATTATTCACCTTTTCTTCATCGTTATGCCCCCCAGTGGCACAGCGGTGTGCCTGCGGACTTACAAGGCTAGAATCCTGGTTTCGATACCCGTGGCGGGCAGAGCACAGATAGCCCATTGTGCAGCTTTGTGCTTAACTTCAAACCAAACAAACAATTCGTCGTTATTTAAAATATATGTTTTTGATAAAGAGAGGTTATTTTAAACGACCCCAAAGCTGTTTTCAGTGATACCTCATTGGAAAGGAAATACTCTCTGACCTCTTTCTATAAATATATAGGTCACGATAGGAAGAGGGTAAAATACCATACCTCATGCTAGAGTATTACGGGGGTCATTACTCTCGCCTTCACGTGCTTGTCTTAAAGGCGTGAATTTTATTTTCCCCATTTTGTTTCAGTCTACGTCACATGGCGCCTGACCTTTTGTTCTTTGGGTCGGACAACAACCTGGGGGAAGCTAAAATCTGCATTATACTTGAAGAACCTACTGCTAATTAGAAACAAAAACAGCTCTGGGTCGAGAGTTTCTTGTGCTCGCTTTAAGTATTAATTCACTTAGCCGAAGGCAATATTTTTCAAAAGTGGGTCACTTGAAATGTTAAAGTTTTTCTGATTGCTTTGCTTATAAAGTAAAGAAAAGCGAATAATAATAATAATAAAAGCAATTCAACAATAAATTAAAATGAGTCGATTGAGTCGACAATCAGTGTTACTATAACATTGATTGGGAGAACGTGGGATATGAGAGACAATGTATTCTCAATTATCAGAAGTCATTTAAATGATAGTCGCGAGTATTGTTTTCAAATGTTCCTTTTTTACTTAAGGCCTGGTATGGCCTAATGTTTAGGGTGCTCCACTCGACTCGCAATGTGTTGGTGAGGGTTTCGAATCGTTATCCAACACACTTGTCCTTGTGGCCATGAGGGCGTTATAATGTGACGGTCAATCTCATTTTTCGTTGGTAAAGAGTAGCCCAACAGTTGGGGATGGGTATTATTCACTAGCTGTCTTATCATTTGTCTAACATTTCTAAGTTAGAGGTAGCTAGTGCAGATACACCTTGAGTACCTTTGCGCGATTGTTTGTTTGTTTGTAGTTAAGCACAAATCTACATAATGGGCTATCTGTGCTCTGCCCACCACGGGTATCGAAACCCGGATTCTAGCGTTGTAAGTCCGCAGACATACCGCTGTGTCACTGGGGGGGGGCACCTTTGCGCGAAATTCAACAACAACAACAAAACTATACTGTACCCCATCTCTTCTGTTTGTTTGTTTGTTTGTTTTGAATTTCGCGCAAAGCTATACGAGGGCTACCTGCGCTAGCCGTCCCTAATTTAGCAGTGTAAGACTAGAGGGAAGGCAGCTAGTCATCACCACCAACCGCCAACTATTGAGCTACTCTTTTACCAACGAATAGTTGGATTTACCGTCACATTATAACGCCCCCACGGCTGAACAGGTGGGCTTGTTTGGTGTGACGGGGATTCGAACCCGCGACCCTCAGATTGCAATTCGAGCACCCTAACCACCTGGCCATGCTGGGCCTGGTTAAATGAAAGATTCTGAAAAAATCTCATTTATAAAGTTCCTCCAGTCATGGCAATGTATTGAAAAGTTGATGCCATGTTGGGTTTCAACTAACATCATATCCAGTACTGGGTGCATTAAGTGTTGAACATGCATATATCCATTGGGAGTCGAACGCTTTAACCACAATCTCTACTATCAGCAGGACTTTCAGTTTGGCCATTTAGATGTAAGTTAACATAACGTTTTAAAATTCTGAAAAATATGAAATATTGATGTAATGCCATTTCTGATGTTACACTCTGGCTCACACAATGATACGTTTTTAATTCAAACAGTCTGCTTATTTATTTTTTTTCTTTTTAACACGTAGTATGAATTAAATACGAAATTAGATTTTTGGAAATAAATCACCTTAAGAAACTATGGTTGTAATTTATTTTCTTGGCGACATTTCAAGAAAAATTT